GTCATTCCGCGCGTCTGCGAACATGCCAGATGCATTAAAATGACGCGGCAATCCCAAAAGCACTCTGAAGCCGTTGTTATACTGTACACGGAAAGTGTCCATTATTTTTCTAGAATGTCTGGTACACAGGGCGCTCGTGTAGAACGTTTGACAGTAAGTTTCAAATAATTAATTTAATTGGTATGTTATTTTTAAGTTTTTTTAATATCACGATGTTTTAGTCCAATGATATTCAATTATTTTTGTGAAATTACTCCACTAGTTTGTTATGAGTATTGATACAATGATCGAGTACTAAGAAAAATTCTTTCGATCCAGCTGAATTCTGGATTGCATGGATATTTGTATGTTTTTATTATTTTGGATATGGACTTGCAGAATATCAGCAAGAGCTATTTAGGTACTCTATATAGTCATCTGCAACTGCCTCCGTGGCCGAACTGTTACCATGCCGGACTGCCACGCAGAAGTCCCAGGTTCGATTCCCGGGCCAGGAGAAATATTTCCCTGGTGCTATTTCTATGTTGAATGTGTGTGTGTGTGTGTGTGCGTGTTATCTGTTACTTACTCATAAATCATTATGACATCTTTATATTTTTATTTCATCATCACTAATCTGTTTTTAATATAGATAATACACACATAAATGACACACAAACAAGACGTAATAACTACGACAATAAATAATTTTGTTTTTTGCGTTTGTACTTTGGAATAGGTACCCTGTGTACCGGACCTTTAAAAATTTTAATTTAGGTTTTACGTAATAAACGATACAAGGAATTAATTTCAATGTTTTGGTGGTTCTGTATAAATAAGGCAGGTGGCGCTAATTTTAATTATAACGTGGCACATAGTTTCCCAAAGTGGTGCCTACCGGCCCCCAGTGGGCGATGAAGAGTCCTAGGGCGGTAGGGGCCTCGGAAGCAATTGAGAGTGTCGTTGATGCTGTCCAGAGGGTGCTATCGCATTCGCAAAAGAAACATGAATTACCTATATACACTACACTACATATACAGCCTATATGTTTGAAAGTGGGACATACCTATAGACAGCGTTATATTCCTGATTCTGAACCTAAAGAAATAATAAACGAATGAACTTAAACTTCACAAAAAATGTTTTTAATTTTTTTATCGTCTACTACTTGAGAACACCATTAGTTATCGAAATCTATGCACATCACTATTATTGCTCCGACGCAGCGGCGGGTGGCGGCACGGCGGCGAAAAACAAAGCGCAGGTCGGGGGTGGGGGCGCGGGCGCATACGCGAAATTGCTCAGGGCACGCGCGACCTTGATCTAACGAAATCACGTAAATGATTTGTACTTCCGCTCGCCCGATCGCCGCAAAATGGATATTTATTCTAACGTCGAATTGACTTTAATGCGCCTGTGCGACTTTACGCAATAAGTGGTGATAGTGTGAGGCAAGCTATTGAAATGTTCCCAAATCGGAGTTTACGCGGAAGAGGTGAACAGTGTCGAAGTGTTGCGTGAGAGGTTTATCTCAGCATTTTATACTATGAAACAAAATGTGTTTGTGTTGTACAATTTAAAACAAAATTTACTATGCCTTGCTAGACTATGCATTGTGGAAAACGATGGACATTTTGAACACTTGCTTCGTACCACGTGAGTGTAAATAAACTGTAAATAACAAAAAAATCAATCATTGTAAATAATTTGATTTTACATTTTTATCTACGCCAAAAAATTCTTGTTAAATGATAACTAGTTACTAAATCATAAACTTATCTTTTTTAGTTAGTATTAAGACATTTCGATGATAGTTCAAGAAAAAAATAATTAACATAAGCTAAAACGTAAATGTGAAGTCATTGTTATTGTTGCTGTCTCATTCGACCCTCACTTGGTAGTATTCCCATTGCACTCAAAATCAAGCTTAAAGGGAAACGGTTTATTCCTATGTACACTTCAAAACACATTTGTTGATTTATTTTTTGTTCTATCTCATATCCTAATTTTATTTTAGTCTATGTTAAGTTGTAACATGGTTTACTATGACACGTATGAATATGTCTCACTTTCAAATATACAGCCTGTATATAATTTTTATTCCTTATGATCTTTGGTGTCAGTTAATACAAAAAATACGTGTTTTGAATTATTTTTTTCTGGTGGTGGGCGTTGAAATTTTTTTCCTTGCCGAAGTGGGCTGCGAGCCAATAGTTTGGAAACCTATGATGTAGCAGATTCACTGTACAAACCTAAGTAAATTATCTAAATTTTCGAATACAGTAGGCATTATTTTGTCAATACATAAATAATACCTACTGTATTCGAAAATTTGTCAATGATTATATGCGACGCTGCTAATTACGGAACTATTCTCATTACAAAATATAGTCTACAAGAACTCCACACACAAGATTCTTATATAATATTTTCCTTACCTACTACATTTATGAATAAATTGTTAACTGAAGAAGATTTTTTTAAAGACTAATTAAACAGCATGTTACGAGAACTATAATAATAATAATAATAATAATGACGCACACACTCAACATAGCCCCGCACTAGGGAAACCCTGTGTCGTGTCATGGACACACACAGAGACAACCACAAACCACGCCCAAACTCACGAGAGAAACAAATGTAAGTCATGCAAATATTTCTTCCGGCACGGGAAACGAACCCGGGACCTCTTGCGTGGCAGTCCAGCATGGTCACCGTTCGGCCACTGAAGCAATTAAAACCGGACTGTATCTTTCTTCTACTCGAAAAAAATCATAAAAACTTATAATGGCATCGCAAAGGAACATTGAGATGGAAATGCATTCGCGTAGAAACGAAAGCCTTTCAGCTTGATGCGATAAAATCTCATTATTTTGATGCAACGAGCTTTTTCAGTTTCCTTTTAAGATTTATTCAGAAAAACACATTCAATACAATCGCAATGAAATAAATGTACAAGCTTCGATTTTAATAGGAAATATTAATTGGAATCATTTAATATTTTACACAAATAATGGACCGTCTTTGTAAGCGTTTAATGGGTGGAAGATCGTTAACAGGCTTCATTCGATCGTAAATTACTGACGCGTGTATACATATGAATTTACATGATTGTAGCTAGGTGCTGAATATAGATAGATACCTACATTATTAATACACAGTTTTAGGAAGGCAATGTGAGATTACTGTGCATAGAGAGAACGATTTAGGTTTTTTTTTATGATTCGAAGTGACGGGACGAACAAGTAATTAAGGTCGGTCAGTAATTTCCAGGTAAGTATTCGGCTTAACAGACACATAGGACTTACCAGGGTATATTTTCGCGTAAGTTTTTGTACTCAATTTTGGTGACAAGTTTTATTATTTAATTACTCGAATATAACATCGTGAAATATTAAAGAATATTTCATGTTACCACACTCGAATATTAAATAATATTTCATGATGACATTCTATAAATATTGAAATAAAAAGAAATTGTCACCAAAATTGAGTACAAAAACTTACGCGAAAAGGACTTACCCTGGTAAGTCCTATGTGCTTGTAAAGCCGGATACTCATTACCAAGCAGTAACTGTAACGTGACAGTTACAGTAACGAGGTTCTAGTGAAACAATCTTCTCTCGTTAGAATGAATACCTGATTATCATCGGCTCACTACAAACAGCACGCGTTCTGCTCGCGGCAAGCTTGCGATTTTTGGTAATATAGCATACAACGGTTACGGTCACAGCTTGCTAATGAGTACCCGGTTTAATTTCACCAGCGCCCTTGCCCTTCAAAACTGAAATGCAATAATGTTCATATTGCCGTTTGGCGGGAGAAACAGGTAATTGAAAAAGTAAGGTGACAGTACTACTCTTTTTTTTATTGCGGCGAAATGCGTTACGCATACCGCTCGGCTCGGGAGAACCTCCTTTATATTATACCCACTAAACTAAAACCCAGCGGTTAACTCCACCGCCATAGGTCGACGCCCCAAGATCCACTTGATCTTCTACTACATACTACTGGGACGTCCCGGCGGATGGCCCGCATTGAGCGGGCCCAATCCTTTGGAGGGTGCCTCGAGCACCCTTAGGCTCGGTGAAAGGGGTCCCCCGACCCCAATCTACGGCGGGGGAAGAAGGCGGGCGTACTGCCTCTTCGTGTCTCCGCCCTATGTCTTCGAAGCGGGTTAGAGACTGGTCGTCCTCTCTGAGCGGTCCACAGCCTCCTTCTGCGAGGCTCCGCTGCCGCAAAATGAGACCATAGACTCCCAACACCGCTCACTGCAGAGCATTGCTCCCGCAATTGTTAGCAGCGAGAGATCTCATCCCACTATGGCAGTCAGGAAGTGCCGCTGAAGGCCCCAAGCCGCACATTCTGGCAGTACTACCTTGGACTAACTCTTTCACAAGGAGCTCTACTATTTGCAACTTTCTTGCAATTTTCTTCACATCTAAATCGCGATTATTTATTTTTTCAAACAAACAAACATTTCAGGCCCTTTACAGGTTCCATAGCGATGTAGAAGGCCCGAAACTTTCCAACACCGAGGTCCAAAAAAATAGTTTCATTTCCAACAATTAAAATTCGAATTAAGATGTTAACAACACGTGTGTTAATACAGTAATAAAAAAAAACTAGTTCAAAATCAAACTACAATATCAAAAATGACATCACAAATCAAAGCACCTATTAGAGTAGCACAATAAATCACAAAGTTGATATCCGCATTCGAGAGTCCCATAACTACACGACAAAACGAGTTGAATGAATCGATTAAACTTTACACTTTCCGTAACGATCCTTCGTTGTCAGGATAGCATCCGAATTATAATAATTTTTACACCGAAATGTAATAAAAACTCTTTATGTAGACTAGCCAAAACTAGTCATTAGCCTTGAGATATATTTGTCATTTTGAGAATAAGTATCGCACCAGCCATTATTAATTTAGGTTGATTCCGTTTTGGGATGATTCCGGTTTTAAATAACATGTATATAATGGTATTGGAAGATGATCGAATCACCATTCAGTCCACAGTCGTCTGAAAAGTAGCAGCACCATGTTTAAATTGGTAAGTTCTATTTTTAACCCACTTCAAAAAGTTATCATTTGGACTGTTTTTTTTTTGTATGTATGTTTCGCCGCATTTGTGAACCAATTTCTATTCTTTTTTGAAAAGGGGTCAATGGTGAGTGGGTAGTGGACCCATTCAAATTTGAAGAAAATATTCCACCTCTGAGGGTCGTATTCTAGAACTCTATTCAATGCTCAAGTCAGGATTGCACTGGCAACACAAGCACTGGAAATACGGCCCTAATGGCAGGGACTTGATTATGATTTCGAGTGCTTTAAACCATACTCAAATCCTGACTTGAGCATTGAGTAGAGTTCTAGAATACGACCCTAAGAGTGATAAGTTAGGGGATGAATTCGATTTATTGGATTTCACCCACTTTCCGTTAACCCATTTCAATAAAACGTGGTATATAAATGTAATTCCACAAATTTTTGAGTTGGTTTTTTAAAAATTATAATTATAGTTCTTTTATCATGTGTTGTAATAATATCGATACTTCATGGAAGAAAAGGTAAAAGCCAAACTACAAAATTTGCAAAGTGAAGTAATGGCGAGTGAAAAACATTGTTTCCATTTTTATGGCTATTTACATAAAAAAAATTTTAAACACATTTTTTCTTCGTCTAAACAGGTGTAGAGTTTAAAAATTAAAACCAATTAAAGGTTAGTTGGAAGAAATCTCTTTATGGGATAAGCTCGCCTTTGTACACAAATATTTAAATTGTTTCTGAAAATTTGTAAGTTACTTTCTGGTACAATAAAGTGTTTAAATAAATAAATAAATAAATAAAATCTTATCAAATAGAAATTTAATACAATTGGTTCATACGCCTATTCTTCCTCGAAATATCGCTATGCTCGATAACTTAGGTGCACTTTATCCCCGTAATAAATTAAATTAGCAAATGAAGACTGTAGAAAAAGCGTTTTGGCAATTAGTGTCTTGTTTATTTTATTATTTGTAGTTATAGAGTCAAGAGCATATCAAACTTGATTGTGTGGAATTTGAAACGCTCTTATCGTAAGCAGAATACAGTTGAATTTAAATCTTAGGTGCATTTGGATTGTACATTTTCATCAAAGACTAAAAGGCATTTACACGCTTTTTTACAAGTGTTTAAATTAGAAAATGTTCAGAGCCCTATACAGAGTGACACCTCAAGGTCAACGAGATTTTAAGGGGTGATTCTATCCATCGATACGAACCACTTTGACTATGAGGACCCTCCAATTTCAGGGCAATAAATTCGCTGTTATGCTGTTTGTGTTCTTGCAATTAATTAGCTCTCAAAGTAAAAGTTGCACGTAGTGATAGGTACAATTATCCTCTAAAAACTCACACAATGTTTAGGAGTCACCTGTATAAGACTTACTTAAACTTAGCTTATATATTATAATACGCAAAGTTATATATATATATATATATATATTATATAAGTGTACTTACTTGTTATAGCATATATTTGATATGTGTTAACTTAGACTTTTGAGTCTAAGCGTAGTATTCCAGAACTCAGGATTTGAGCAGACTTGAGTATGATTTCAAGCACTGGAAATACGACCCTAATGGCAAGGACTTGAGTATGATTTTCAGTGCTCACTGCAATACTCAAGTCCTGACTTAAGTATTGAATAGAGTTCTGGAATTCGACCCTAAGTATTAGTTTTTGATGAGTACATGCTTCGCTTACGTAAGGATCAATAATAAAATAAAGGGGGCACAATTTGGCAAAATGCTTTGAGGGCACAATTTGACAAAATGCTTTTATTAAACGAATGAAGACTCAACAGTCTTCTAATTTTCTATATACCCATGGAAATTAACTGTAGATTATTTCTGCAGCTTCGTGTTAATATTATAAATCCTCTTTTGCAGGTGTTAGCCCTCGCTGTGCTCGGCCTTACCGCCGCCAAGCCCCATTATCCCGTGTACTCGTCTTACTCTTCATACTCGGACCCCATCGGTTTTTCCTCGTACGTTGAGCCCGTCGCGACTGTCGGGGCTACCGCACCAGTTGCCACCGTTGCCCAAGTTACTCCAGTTGCCCGCGCTTACCCAGTCGCCCAAGCCGTGGCTACCCCCGTCGCGACTGTTGCTGCTGCCGCACCCGTCACCACTGTTTCCCAAATCACTCCAGTTGCCCGCGCTTACCCAGTCGCCCAAGTCGCCCAGGCCGTGGCTACCCCCGTCGCAACTTTCGCTGCTGCCGCACCCGTCACCACCGTTGCCCAAGTTACCCCAGTTGCTCGCACTTACCAAGTTGCCCAAGTCGCTCAACCAGTGGCTCAAATAACACCTGTGACACGTACCCTGCCGATCCAGTACAACCAATATACTGCCCCCGTGTCTACCTACACCTACAGTCAAGTAAGTCCTGTGACTCGTACTGTTCCTGTTGGTCAGTACACTCCTGTTAACCAAGTTGCCTCTATTGGCCGCTTCGCACAGGTTGCCCCAGTTACCACTGGTTGGTCACAGGTAGCCACGTACCCCGCTTACTCAACCTACTCCGGCTACTCCGCCGCTGCCCCCGTCTACGGCTACGAAAACTACGGCAACTACGCATACGGTCTGTGGAAACGCAAGTGAATGACCTAGAGATATAAATGTTCATGTATTATTTCAATTCCAGTCACAAAACAAGTCATAGTCAATACATTTATTACAACCTGTATATTGTATTGTTACTTACCACAGAATGAAATAAATTATTTTAATTTGTCACTACAATCTAAATAATTTTATTTCTACCTTATTATTGCCTACATCTTCGATTAAATTGTGGCTACCCAAAAATATATGTAACGAAATCACTTAGTAATAATATCTAAATCAACTTTCACAACATGTATTTATCTAAACTGTCAACTTGAGAGTCATGGTTTACCCAAATCGCTGGTCCCAAACCACAAAAAAACATCATAATTATTATAAAATTAGCATTCCGTATAGAGCATTTAATAGATAGAGTACAATATAAAAGTAAAATATAGTAGCAATAGAGCCCGTCGTAAAAGATTACGTCCAGGGAAGGACTGCTACCATATTTCTGCCACGAAGCAGTAATTTGAGCATTATTGTGTTCTGGTCTCAATGGACGGACAGTGGCGCCAGTGAAACTACAGGCACATAGAACTTGGCAACTTTATGTCTCAGGGTAACGGGCGTAGCGGGAATGCCCCGCAGATCTTTGCTTTTTTAAAGAGCACTGCAAATGTTGTGAGTAGGCAATGGCGGATTTGCGGTCTTAGCCGCCCCAGGCCCCAGGCCATATAGACAGTACCAGCCGCCCCTTTCTCAGCACTCATCATAATATATTGGTAGACTACATAAAAAATTTACTTTATTGCCAACTTTTATCGAAATCGATTCAGAAATTTACTATTTAATATTTTTAATATTTTCTCTGTTCGTTTACGGGGCGCACGCCAGTAAAGCGCCCAGCCGGCATGGTTTTCTACGACATCTCCAACATTTAACGTCATATTTCAGCCAACTTACACAAAACCTAAATATAATAGGGGTTAAAGTATGAAATTGCCGATTTGTACTGAAA